TCTGTAGTCAGAGGAAGAGTAAGGATCTCTTTGGACATAACTTCAGCACCATTACCCTTTGCTGCAACACTGCTGCTCTCTTCATTTCAGCCTGTGCAAAAATCCCCATCAGTCCTCTCTAACATGCTTTCGTATGGCATGTGTAAGTATAGGCATGTTATATGTAAGGGTTTGCAATTAGATTGCAATTCATAGCTCCTGATACCAGCAATTTTTTAAATTTTTTATTTTATAGCAATGGCAACAACCGAAGCAGGACAACCACCACCATATTCTAATGTGTGGACACTCTATTGTCTAACTGATTTGAATCAACAAGGTCGAAAGTCACCACCACCCCTTCCTCCTGCTGGAACTGGTGCTCCTTATCCCCAAGCAACCCTCTATATATCTAGTGGGAAGGAACAACAGCCGTTCCTACAACAGCAGCTGCCACCACAAGGTCCACCGCCACAAGTATCCTCTCCAACTTATGTGATGGAAGAAGGCAAGAGGGGAAATGCACCACCCTTCATTTTAGTGGGCTCTACTGTTCAGAATGTACAGGACTGGAAATCTATTCCTGGCCATGCTGTTCTTGCACAGCATGAGACAAGTGCTGTGAGGAGATTCACTACCGTACCCATACCAGTTGCCAGACCAGCAGATCTGAAAATGGCCACTCCAAGCCCCAATTCTAATTCTGCACAAGAAACTGCTAGACCACCAACCCCAGTTTTTCTTTCAGTTGCCATCCCCTTGGATGATGTAATGGCTGCAAAGAGAGGTGCAGCTGGTGACAAACAAACAGGCATAAATCCCTTTGCAGGAAGCTATGGTATAGCAGGCGAGATTACATTTACTTCTGGCCCGGTCCGCAGAGCAGACTCATAAGGTAGGCAGCTTCATGTCAATGTGCATAGCTGAAGTTTTGCTTTACATTCAGATTTATGGCAAGGCTGATTTTGAACACAGCCTGGAATTTAGAGGTGCTGACGACATAACTTCCTCTGAACCTAAAGTGCCTTGAGTGACAGCTGAAACCACACAACATATTTGATTTGAAGCCTGCTTAACACTGGTTGGGGACATTGATTCCTCTTCCCATTCCCTTAGCCCATGATGCTTCACAAGGTTGGAGCTAGTGTATCTGACATACAGTGCAAGTGCAGAGGGAGGTTCAGTACATTTTGATTTTAGATAAGCTGTGATGAG